CACAGTATTATAGAAATGAAATACTAAAGGAAATAATCACAGAGAGACAGCATCTTTGTAGAGCTTGTGATAATGAGGAACATTTCTGTTTGTCAATATTCCAGGAAGTCCTGAAGAAAGCTGAGGAGCACAGCAGGCACATCAACGACATCCAGACGTCTGTGGACCTCACCATGTTCATCAGTGCCTCAAAGGACAACAAGGTGAGAACTCTTCTGTAAATGATTGATGTGATGACAGTTGTTGAGAAAAGTTATAAGTCATCAGAATGATGATTTCAGGTCCCTCCTGTCGGGTGGGCCGTCAGGGTCATCTGGGGAAGTGTTAACAGTCATTAGGAGTCTGATGGGTCGTTGTAATCCTCATCAGAATGGTTTCAGTGTGTGGGTGATAGGTTGTGTCTTAGCCCACCTCTTCTGTTGAATGCAAATGTCATGTCCAGTTCTGTACAGAAAAGCAATATTTGCAAGTTCATTTCATATTCTCCTGTCAAAGGCCAATTTCTTATTTACCACGACAACCCTATGTTCATTATTTAGAACGAAAAACTAACTACGAATCATTTTAACTTCTGACAAAAGATTTCTTTATAACATAACTTTACTTACATCTAAACTCTCTCCATAGCCGCTTTCAGACGTCATTTCTGTTATGACAGGTGGATCTGTGGCACGGTATAGTGACGTCACACAAGTCCCGCATGGGGATACAGTCGTGTGATTGGCTGCAAACGAACGTGACATCTGATTGGCTGACGGGCCCCATGTAGAAAAAATGCATTTGTGTATCACAAACAAATGCAGGGAGATTTACATACTAAAAGCAAGTTATAAAAGCGCGTTAGACAATTCACAAATGTATTTTATGAAACTAACAAATATCTTCACATGCATACATTTGTGAATTTTCAAAGTACATTTGTGAATCCTTGTTTGTGCATTTATTCTTTTTGAGACTGTTCTAGCGTACCTACAAGTATCTCATCTGTATAAAACGTAATTGTAATACAAAGTGGCAGCTGAAGATTATTTTTATAATCGATAAACAATTTAAACAATATTTTTATACACCTAAAACCAAGTATATTTAGTTTCCAGTTACAGACAACTATAAACATATTTATATTCATATTTTAAAGCTTTTATTTGATCAGAAAACAAATGTAAGCGGTTTAACAACTATAAAAGTATTTTTAATATTTTAATCTTTTTTATTTTTAATATTTTAATCAAAAACTTTATTTATTTTTTCATCTAGCAGAAATATTACCACCCTTTACCATAGGTCACCTCATAGTTTTCCCGTTAGATTGTAACGCAACTGTATCCGACTCGTGTCAAATCGCCATCAAACATTTTCAATCTGTTGTCTCTGTCGCCCTCCTGTGGTAATCTTAGTAAGTACATCGATAAGTGTTTTTAAACGGGCTGCAGGATTTTACTTGAGAATTGAGGTGTATTGTTCTTGTAACTCATTGCCTTAACTGATATACTGTTAGATTAACAATAAAAAATAGTACTTTTGTGACAGCGTACTTCCTGTTGTGCTGTTTGTGCATTTCTTTCCTTCCATGTCAACTTCATAGTCATGACTGTCTCCACAGTACTCAGTACTAGTACTGTTGAAGTTGACCAGTAGATTGTACTTCTCTTATGAGAAGTAAAACTATTAAATTTTCTGTGATGTTTTACCCCAGAAAGGTAAAAGTGAAGGCACTTAGTAGTTCCTGTGTCTGTCCCGAGGAGACAGGAGCAGGAAAAGCAGTGAGCCGACAGGAAAACTCCCTCTAGGCTGGTTCAGAGTTATTAGGGTCATTTACCTCATCCATTGACTCCACCCAGTACTACCAGCTGAGTTCCCAGGGTTTTTGTGCCCCTCAAAGTACTGGGAAAATGATTGGAATGACAAGCATTAGAATTGTGACTTAAATCAAGCCTCATAATTACAGTGTAGTGTAGTGTAGTGTAGTAGCATTGATTGTAGGGCTGCAAAAAACAAAAAAAACCAAAAAAACAAAAACAATAATACAACAACAAACAAACAAAAACAAATGTTAATGTTTTTAGTTCTGGTTATTTCCTTTACTCTGTTTGGTGCAGCAAATGTGTGGAAGAGTGTTTATGTGCACAATGTCCTAAAGTAAAAAAAAATCTATTCACCAGATGATTTTAAAATATAATGGCAAAACTGAATTCAATCAACAACCTACATTATTATATAATCAATTCACCACTTATAGAACAAGTTCAGTGCGAAAAAGCAGTAATCGATGTCTTGATAATTGAATAATTTGTTAATTATGGTTTTGTTCTCATGTATATTTTTGTTTATTTATATACTCACTGTAAAAATATGGTGTTATCCGCATTTACCATTGTCCTGTCGCAGTACACTTAAATGACCACACGAGGGCAGCATTTAAAAATATACTGTCCCATAACTTCGTTCTGCTACGACTTGTAACACATAACCCAACATAGAAAGTAAGTAAATATGATATTTTAATTAACGGAAATAGTTGTTTGTAAGTTCTTTTAAACGTTTTTAGTAAGTTATGACGTCGTCTTGTTTTGTTTTAACCTTTTAAATGTCCATATAAGACGTCTGTAGCAGCATAATTTACAATACACTGTATTGAAGTTTGACTTCGAGTTCGCTGCTAATGCTAATCATGTCAACGGTGACGGTACCACACTGTATTAACACGGGGAACTGTTGAGTACTAGCACATTCTTTTACTTATATCAAGTCATTTTCAGCTTAGCTTTTCGAATACATAGTTAACGTTTATGTTATGTTTTTGAAGGTTTTTTTTTACTGTACTGTACTGTAACTGTGTATCATGTTTGGTTGGTCTGTGGGCCGATTCTGGTCCAGGGGCCTATGTTGCCACATTATTTTCCTCTCTTTTTAGTAAAGATGTTTGAAAAGTTTTTTTTGTATTTATATGTATGAACTTTGTAAAAAAAAAGAAAAGAAAGTGAATTGATTATTATTTTTAAAAAGATTATGAAGTTTTTGCTGCCTTGGCATGCAAACTTTTTTCTCCAAACTATTCTATTCTCCTGCAATCAGAACATACCTGATATTTGAAAAAAAAATGCAAAAAAGAAAAAAGAAAAGCACATGACTGGGATGTAGGGTTAAAAAATTATCTTAAATATAATTATGATGAGAGGAGAGCCCAGAGCTGAGGGTGAGGAGATGATGAGCAAAGTCACCTCACCTGCTTTATCTGCGTCTTTACCAACCATCCTTTCATCTCAGTCAGCCCCCCAGGGGAGAACACTGGCCCTCTGTGTGTGTGTGTGTGGACAAGGGGGGCTGGGGGTCTTGGTTCTTGCCACAGGATCCCCAATCTCTTGAAAGAGGGAGATGACAAGAGCAGATAATGGTGAAAAGGACTAACGTGGGTGTGTGGAACGTGTGTGTGTGTGTGTGTGTATGTTGGGGGGCTGCCTCCTGAACCTCTCTGATATTCTACCTGCCTGTCTTAACCACCGTCCCAGCCCCCACACATCAACACACTGTGCTGCGGCTTCCACGCTCTCTTTCATGATCTCTGTTAGAGCCGGTGGGCAGAGGGTGATTGTATGGATCACATATGGTCAACAGTTCCACGCTCTGCTAGAACTTACCGTTGGCATGAACGACCCACAGGTAGTCATTGTTAGTGTGCATATGGGCCCTGTGTACTAAAATGTTGGACTGGACCAGGGTTTGTCCAGACCTTGTTGGGAAGACTGTTGAGGTCATATTGAATTACAACAGTAAACACCCACTGTATGTAGGATTTCCATGTGGCGTCGTGGGGGCACTGCAGGACACTGTCTGAATTCCCTAGTGTTATTTTCTGGACGTGTACTGAGCTCCACGATTAAAGTTCCGTCACCGTTGTGTTTGCTCTCTGTCGATTTATCTGCTGTGAAACCTAGAAAACTGCTGAAAAAAATTCACGCTGTTTTAAACTCGACGCAACGACACGGAAAAAATGTCCCACATGTAACATCAAAATGGCACATGTGTGACACAGTTTATTAGATTTCTTACTTCAGAGCCTGCTAACGTGGTTATAATGTTTGTCATATTTTGCAGTGTTCACACTTTGAACGTTGATTGAAGGGATTACGGTGTAAATATGAGGTAACAGAGTCTGTCATGACACCTATAATCCTCTAGGCCTCACTGCTTTACTCTGGTCTGTTGGTTTTGTTTGCAGGAATTCTCACAGTACAGTCAACGTTAAACACACACACAAAGAGGTTGGCTCTGTGTGTGCAAAGTTTCGTAACCAAATACAAGCTGTTCAACAGCACACCCTACAAATTTAATTTTTCTAAGGCAGTGGTCGCCAACTTTTTTGTACTGGCTGGTATTACAGACCGGTGGAGCTGCACTGATGGTTGAAGGATAGTCAGAAGATCGGTAGATTTTCATAATAAAACATCTTTTAGACTTTATTCTATTAGTACTAGATTCTGAAAGACATATTAATTTGGAAAAAAAAATCCAGATTATCGTTAAATGAAAGAAGTAAATGAAAATGACTTGAAGTAAACAAGGTAAACTAAAAAAACACTGAAAATCAAAATTCTTAAAAAAAAGTTTTCACATTCTTCTTCTTATTATTATATTATTGTTATTTTTTTAAATGGTCTCATGTGGAGGATGCTTGTTAAACGGAGCGGGATAAAATTAACTACCGAACAAGGATGTAGCCGACCAGGATATCCTCCAGTGTTCGGTTGGTGTTTGTGAAAGAACTATTATTGTTCATTTTGAAGTTCCCTAAACACACGCACGCACGCTAAATAAACTCCTGAGACACAGCTGTTTACACAGTGTCCTGTGGAGCTCATCACTAACTCCTCTGTGGATTACCTCAACCAGACAGTAACACTCACTGTATAACTGACACGGGGCGACCCAGATCACAGTCCCAGCAACCGGAGTTTACCAAAGGGGAAGACTCCGGTCGTCGTCGCTTTAAAGTTTTGAAAAGACACATGTGTGTTAATCACCGTGCTTTTCCTAGGCAAACGGTAAAAACAATGACTGGTTAGTGGGAGATTATTACACACACACACACTCTGTGGATTATGGTCCTGCTGTTTTAACATTTGCTCACATAGATGTGTACACACACACACACCCAGTGACACATACACACACTCACACACACAGAAGACTGCTGACTGTTCCTTGGCAGCCGATCCACTTGAACCACAGGAAGTTGTTCTTTCTTACATGTGGACATTAGACTTTACAGCTCGTCCTTTGATTGGCAGAAACACAAGCCTGAGTAAATACACAGGTCCTGGATTGATTTAAACCTGTAAATGTTTGTGATTGAACAGCACAGTAGCCCTGGACAGTGTCACAACAATGGATTTGAACTGGCGAAATTTGAGTAGAATGATCTTCTGTTAGACCCTCAGAGAGTCTGAGAGTCTTTGTCTGTCACAATCAGAAAAGATTCAAGTGAGATTCAAGCTAAATTAAAAAAATCCAAAAAACTCAGGCCTATCTTATACGAGTTGTTGCAAAAATGGCATTCAGGTTTTATGTTTTTGTATTTTGATGTAGCATCAGCCTTAGTGTGGAGCATTTCTTCAGTCTTAAAAGTAATATTACGTTTGTTTGACCTCTGCTCAGAAGGTTTATTTGTATTTTAACTCAAATGTCTTGGTTGATCTGTGAAATTCTAAAGTTTAAAAGCAAAAACAAAGTTGAAATTGCAGTACAGGTGTGAGGAAGAACCTCTTGGATGACGCAGATCGTGGAACAAATGTTACTGTATTGATGTCGTGGGAAATTAAGAAGTCGTGACAGAGATATTTATTTAATAGTTAAGTGAAGATTGTCACTTGCTGTTTGTCTATCTGTGATGTCACTTGACGCTGAACAAACACTGTTCACAGTCAAATTAAAAATCCTGTGGAAATGATGAGAAGTAGACTAAAAAAAAGATCAATTTAAGAACAAACAAACTGATCTTTTAGAAAAACACAGTGGTACGAGAAAGAGTTTTGTTTGGCTTTGTCGTGAGAAGAGAAGGGAATGGAATTTGGAAATAATTGTTACTGACGCTCTAGAAGCTGGAGAGTGATCTACGTCTACGTCTACGCCTTTGATTGGTCGTCAAGACCTGGAAGGAGATAATTTACCGCCAATTTATTTGCCGGGTTTATGCTGTTTTCACGATGTGTTGACTCATAGTTAACAGCTGTTTGCATGTTGAGCAGACGGTTGTCGGTGAATGTATTTGACTAATGAGCCGCTCATGTATTAAAGGTCACACACACACACACACACACTCCCTCGTACAGGTGGGTTTGCGCACAATCAAGCATTTGTGCGGCAGGATTACTTCTATTTGCACACCATCGTGAATCATAAACCTGAGCTAACAAACGGATCTTTTTGTAAACGGCCGTTGTAAAAGTGCGCAGAGAAACTGATGGCATTCACTTTCCACACTGCAGGATGTTTTAGGAGCAGCGGCGTGCCACAGATAAAACACTGTGTGTGTGAATGTGTGTGTGTTTGTTGTGTGCTGAGGTGGGAGGAATGAATGAAAAGGCCAGAGAACAGCTGCTGTCTTAATGGGTCGTGTAGTTGAATAGATGAGAGCCGGCGTGGCCTCGGGCTCTACCTGCCTCCAACCCTCCACGGCTGCACTCACCTCTTCATAGAATTCACTTTAAAATGGTGTGTACTTCGACGTGGGATTTTGTTGTGAACGCACATTTACACAAACATTTATGTAGTCTTTCTACACATCGTGTACGTGTTAGGGATGCACCGAACGCTTCAAATACGTGAACTCAATAAACGTGCTCTGATCCAGCGACCTAAAACTCCGTAACAGCTTTTGCTACAACCATTTTTCAGTTACTGTTATTTCTCACGGCATTGACCTTACGAGGATATTATTTAGGCAGAGGAACAATGTTTGCAGTTTGGAGATATTCCATGTACGTCAGGGGAAACACCTGAGAGGCATTTTCTGATGTGGTGATAGTTTGAAGACTTTGTTTGACACAAAACACACAGTTTGTTAGTTTCTACTTTGACTAAACAGTGATTGTTATAAAAAAAAATAGACTATGGCTGTGGTAATTTTACTGCTTGGCGTCCGCACTGTGGTTAGGGTTGAGCTAGCATAAACACAACTCAAACTCCAGCGATTTTGTTTTTGCTGTTGGCAAGAAAATCACGAAGATGTCGTATAAAGCAGCGTGAAACATTATAAAAGAACAAAAATAGCTTCTACTGTAATTGTTTTCCATTTTTTCCTTTGCTTTCTCCTAAACCTGGTGTGAACGCTACAGAACGCGACCTCCCATCCCTTCTTACATGTTCTCGTAGCCCGTATCTCTCCCCCAGTGTGGAGGCAGAGGGATTTTGATGTTGCCCTAAACAATAGGCAATTTGGCGATTTCCTGTGCGCCAGTGTCATATGATTTTGTCCTGAGGCAGCGCTGTTCCAGGGCCTTTTGTATGGCTGGTCTGAGCCATGGAAGTCAGACTTCCCTCTTTCTCTCCTTCCCTTTTCATGTGGCCTGTGTGAATGAGCCCAGTCCTCGGCTATTGTGGCGTGATTTAGTGATTTATCCACGGGATCCGATGACTTGAGAGTTTGACGTGCGGTGTTAGCAGTGTATTTGATACCAGCAGCCAGTTTCTTTCACATGGATAGTCTCTCCGCGTAGAAAAGACTTGTGCATTGTGGGAAACAATAGCTTTTGTTGCCTTGTATAATGGATAGATTTTTAAAGAAGGTGTTCATGTTCATGTGACGATTAGCTGGTTTCAGTGTTTAAGTCCCTGATATCCCTTTTAACTCCACTGACATTCTGGCCGTCTGCACTTTTACTTATTCTTTATAAGGAACAGCCTTAATGACACGTTTGATTTCAGTCTGTCCAGCCCCGTCAGATCACATTAGCCAGCATTTAAAAGTCAATGCATTTGTCTATTGTGAGGTGTTAAGTTGAACCGAAGGGCTGTAAAGAGAACAAGCGGAAATGTGAGTGACTGAAATGCCAGGTGATAAACTGTGTTGACGTAGATGGTTGAAATAATCCTAATTAGGAAATGTCATGTAGGGATTTTGTTTTTAGCCCCAGCATGTTCCTGACCTGAGGGTAAACAAGAAGCGTGAAGAAGCGTTTTTTTTTTTAAACATGTGCAGCAGAAAACTTCAAATTCTGACTTTTTTTTGTAATGTTGTATTATATTCATAGTAATAAATAAATTAGTTAGAAACTTTTTTTTTTTGTAATGTTGTATTATATTTATAGTAAAAAATAAATTAGTTAGAAATGTAGTCAAGGGCTTTATTGTACATTCTACTATTTATTTAATATTTTCTATTAAAAACTGCAGAATAAAGTAAACATTTTTAATGTTTTTTACAGGAAATGTGTAATGCAAGTAAACAGAATTAGAGCATTGACCGTAGTTGCTCCTAAAACAGGTTTATCACTGAAGCTTAAGATTGTTTTGCTTTTAAAAATCTTGAAACTTGATGAAACATGATTCACTTGTTGCAAATGGTTAAGAATAAAAATTTAGTACTTTTTTATTTTGTTAAAGCAAAAATAGAGTTCCCGTATGTCACAAACGTAGTGTTACTCTCCAAATAATCCCACTGTGCCTGCACATGACATGCTAGAGCTAGCATGTGTACGGACGGAGTCTTCACAGTTATGCAGAAACACTACAAGGAAATACCAATTTCTAAATCTAATGTAGAAGTTTGATGCAGATCTTTGTCACTGAAGTGTTTGGTGGCGTACGGCACAACTCTGTGAACTAAAAAAAGCATGTGTGTGTATCTGTACGTGCGTGCCCGCTCAAAGGCCGACTCATCACGTCTTCTTTTCCTTATCAGTCACTGATGTTTATGAGTGGTCCCTATTGACATAATGACTGTGTAGAACCGGAAACACAGACAAACACACAGTGTGTGTATGGTAAATTTAATAGAGTTCTATCTCGTGTATAGATCTGATTAGCTTTTTTTGATGAAGAAAGAGCCAAAGAGTGGAGAATAGTTTGGGAAATCGTCACAGGACGTGAATCACCAGGACACTTGAAAGCGTGGACTGTAACAACACACGACATGCAGATACATATCAGAGGCTTATACAAACAAATTGGCTGTCACAGTTATCATCAGTATTTAAGCCTGTTTGATGTGGAGAGCTATGTCAAGCATGCATGGACTGTATATTTTCTTTCACTCCAGCTCAAGACTTCAAAAACTGCTAGAAAAAAAATAAAATAATGAAGGAGATAAAACGAGGGGAGAGGAGACGGGATGGAGGGAATCGGGTCAAACGAGAGAGTTAAACAGAGCAATAACAGAATTCCAAAAAGGATTTTTTTCCTAGATGTGTGATAGTGCTGCTGCCGTGGTACGGGCATCTAAATAGAAAATCTCTTCCAGCAAATGAGCGTCCCATCTGGGGGCTTTGAAGTTCCTCGGCATCAAGAGCCCGACACTTCCTCTTTGCATTACTGAGCTGGTCTGTGGTGGGCTTCCCCACGGAATTAACAATACGTGCCTCCATCCATGTGGGCCTGTGGGTGTGTTTATTACAACGCTAACTGATGGACACAGGCAACGGCTGCTGGACAACTCAACCCACTCCACTCCACCTTGCTAAGGAAGACATCAATTCTTACTTTCTGTATGGTCCTCACGCTGTTGTAGATTAAACTCTGCATTTACCCCTAGGTGTCAGACTAAGTGCAGAATAGATAAGAGGCCCCATTCTAATTCTATAGTTGTATTTCAGGTATGTAATGTGACGGTAAGTTGTATTTCAGGTATGTAATGTGACCGTAGACCACAGAGAAGGTGGTATTTATGGAGAATATTGACGTCCTTACATCATCGACTGTCAGTCATACTCTACTGAGTTTGCAGTACGGTTCTAGTTGTATCATCATGTTCAGCTGCCAACAGGACTGAAAGATCTCCTCTGTTTGCTCTGCTCCTCATGTTCTGCAGGTGACGCCACCGAGGAGTCTATAATCATCTTTGGCCTGGAGCCCAAAGTAATATCTCAGATATGATGCTACCTTAAACCGGATGCCGTTCAATCTTCGTCCAACACCTGTTAGACATTACACTCTGCTTGTTTTAGTGTTGAAGCGCAACACCAGGAGATAATGAGGTAGGAAAAAAAAGAGTCTGTTCATTCATCCTATCTGTAATTCATATACACGTGAGCCAATAAGACCCCCCCCCCCCCCCCCATAGCAGGTTAACTGGTTTGGTTGTTAGGATTGGGTAAAATCTGTAAAAAGAGATTATGATTCATTTTGTTTTTCCTTTTCCGTAGTTTTTTTCAAGGTTCAAATATCATAAAAAAGGGATTCGCAAGATTTAAAAAAAAAGTGCTAAAGTAAACTTTTATTCCCTGTGTTGAGCTTCTATAAAACACCACAGAGGAGAAACCTTCACTTGAACTGCCTTGGCTGAAGGTCTCCGACCACAAACCCACAGTGGCAGCACCACTTCCTCTGCACGCTCCATTTTTTTTTTCTTGAGTCTGTCTGACTCTCAGATTTTTACTTCCACTCCAGTGGGAAGTTGGGAAAACAAAACAGCTCAGTTTCCGTCTTCCAGGGATAATAGTGCTACTAGGTAATAGTCCCCAGAGGGGGGAGCACTTCCTCCTGTGTGGAACACACTAGTTCTGGTGGTCCACACGGGGATTCAGTCTCCTGCCCTCATTTTGGCTTGTCTTCATCAGTTAACCCTTGGTTATTAAGAAAGGCCACTAGGGGCTGGTTTGTGGTCCAGCCCAGTCAGTTCTGGTCTCAAAGCCCATTTGCTTTCATACAGCACAGAAAGGAAACATTTAATAGAACCCTGCATGTTTGTTTATTGGACACTGAGAAATTCAAATTCTAAAATTACTCTTTTTGTTCAAGTTACTGTTACGCTGGTCCTGAGGAGGAGCGGACTGAAGGACAGAGGGACCTACAGGTGTCACGTTCACACCAGCCAAGAAGAACACGAGGCCAAGGTTATCCTGAAAGTAGAAGGTGAGACCCTCACCGGCCTAGCCCCTCATATTGACCACCCTCAGTTAAAATGCCAAATAATTAGATTAATTAAACATTTTAATATTTAATATTAATTTTATATTTCTAAATAAATAGTAAAATCCCACTTTGAATTAAATGTCATTTAAAACAACAATCATATCCGGTCCTGAAGAAAATAAAAATAACAATAATAATCTGCTAGACCTCAACGCTTCAGTTCAGGATAATAATAATAATCTGCTAGACCTCAACACTTTGGTCCACATGTAGTGTATACTACGGCAGGGGCCTACAACTGTGGTATTCCCCTTTAATATTTGAAAATATTGAGGAAAATAGAACTATCCAGATCTCTGATGGAGTTGTTGCAAAATCATGAGGGTATAAGATATGCCGTAATATATTTAAATTATTTTAAAATGCTTTTCCGTTTAGTGCTACCATGCTAAATCTTCTGTCTGCTTTCAAACTTGTCTGACACAGAGCCATGTCTGCACTGCATGGTGTGTGTAAAGTTCAGGGACCTCCTGAACAGGGGTTCACAGCCCACACAGGAAGTAGAAATTGCAGAACCCGGGGTTTTCCCTGAGCTTTTTTTTTCTACCTCCATGGTTGAGGTGACCAGTGGAGACAGGAGTGTGTGGGAAGTATTTACTTGATTCACAGTTACAGAGCTAGTTATGGGTGATGTACTGAGATCTAATGAGTCCTGGGCGGTAAGTTGATTAGATTGGGGGCAAACGACGGAGTTCCTGCTCCATCTGTCGTGGCACTGATGGTCAAAGACTTTTGAAACATACATGTTCCTGTTTACTCTGCCGCAGCGGGGACAAGGATTTTATCTGGAAATCTTCTATTGAGGTCAGACAGAAGTAATGAAAGCAGCCACTTGAAGACTAGAAAACGAAAAACGAATAAATAAATAAGTCGTCCTTCTGCAGAGACACACACAAATATAGTGGCAAAAGCTGTGATCTATTAAAATGAAGTCTGATGGGCCGCAGCTTTCTTTGCGGGCTTACATAATTTGGACCAAAACAGATTATTTTCAGTAGGCCAACACACACTGCAGGTTAAATATATCACTTAAAAATGAAGAAGTATGATGACTACAGACAGGGCCACCCTGAGGTTATTTCTGGGCCACATGTGCCCAGGTGTGAGCTATAACTTGTCATATATAACCATGTCAAAACATATCCGTGCTCCTGATATACGAGTGGTAACCTTCTTGTCACTGACTGGTCTACGTCTTAGGCTGCTTATAAAACAAGTGCTTCTAGTCCTGTTTCCACAAACTGTTGTCCTCTTAGTTTTTTTAATGACACATCCTGGAATAAATAGTCGCTCCTCCCTCTCTCCTCGTCAGTTAAACTCTAACTCAAACAAAGTTAAGTTAAGTTAAGTCTAGCAGTAATTTTCAACATTTTGCCACCTTTTTGGAAGCTGCAGGTGAAGTGAACAGAACTGGATCTGCCATTATTGCTGGTCACATGCCTCTCGTGTCCGTGCGTGTGTAAGTGATTTACTCAATTTAAAACATTGAAAACACCTTTGAAGGCAGTTGTTGTTTTCTGTTATCTGCTTGTCTAATGTTTTAGTTGTACGACTTCAGGAAAAATGCCGCTGGTGCTGCTTTGCATTATTATGGAAATTGTGATAAAAAAAATGCAGTGAAAAGAAAAAAAAAACACCATGTATTTACTATTTTATGGCTTAGAAGAGTCATGAATAATCAAAAACCAGAGTTTTGCAGATGCAGCTTAGCGTGGGTTATCGTGTTTGTCATTGTAAATTTGTTCGTGTTTTACATCACTTTCTTTTGTACCTACGTAAAGCTGGCAGTCGATCACATAACGATCGCAGCCCAAAATACTGCCTGCAGTACGTCTGTTTTGTTTTGTAGTCAAAGTAATTTCATTCCGTTTACAGATTTAACTAGTTTTAACTATGAGATTTTTTTCCCCATCTCTGTCTTATACGTAGTAGTTTAAAACGCCATTTTATTGGAAACATTTTTCCTCTAGGTAAACACCCGAGAGGTGGAAATGTAACACACAGAAATACTGGCTGCGATGAGCTAAAGATTGGTCATTAATGTCATCCTGGGACAAGGTAGAGGACAGTATTGGGAATGTGTGTGTGTGTGTATGTGCATACAAATTTCTGAATGCTCGTGGGAACGCCAGAGGTCGGAATTCCAATTGGCACAGCAGGCGATGGGTGTGGACTCCTGCCTTTACGGCCAAAAGTACCAGGTGCCGAGTTCATTCTAAAGCTCATGAGTCCTGTTTAAAAAGGTGAAAAAACGCCATGTTGTGAACTCATTAATTAGTGCAATTAAACATTTAAAATGAATTTGCCTCAACGACAGACATCCAGGAATTCTAATTGACCGGGAGTCTGTGCAGACTGGAAGAGCAGAGTAATTACAGGCCTGGTAGAGAGAGGCTGTTCACCCTGTATCAACTCTAACATTACAAGCATTATTTAAAATGGCAGCACGATAAGTGTATCCTGCACCTGATCCACCCCTGTGCTGCTGATGGACTTGGCTTCTCTTTCTCTCTGTCCCGGTTTTCTCTGTTTTAACAGCTGGATGTTCTTTAGCTCGTGTCACTGCACTGTAATAATTCAACGTAAGGAGGGCTGACAGGGAAAGAACGAGCAGGAAGGAAAGAGGAAAGATGAAGGGCAGGCAGAAAGAAGGATACGTGAGGAGTTATCTACTGTAAGTCAGGAGGTGAAAAAAAAAAAGAACTGTAAAAGGGAACTCATCCAGGAAGTGGACGGCCGTCACTGATGAACCCTGGGGCGGTGCTTGTGGTACTGTTGACACTGGTTGGCATTGACAAGAGTTCTGTCGACAGTTTTATGGATGATACATTTTGCTGAGTTGGTGTTATCATTGATTGATGAACAGTCATTATTACTAAACATTTTATGAAGTGATAAAAACAGATTGAATCCACTCTGCTTTGACTGACTCTAACTTTTAATTGAGTGAAATTAGTTGCCATCAGTTTTAATAGAGGAATAATACCTGTTAATTAAGAAAGATAGTACTGAAATATTTTTTCTGTTATGTTAAGATAACAAATTTAAAATGTGCTCAATATTTAGAACCACACAAGCGTGGTGGAAACCAAATTGAAATTTGCTGCCAAACGTAACATAATAATCAGGTGCAGCACTTGGTCTACAAAGAAAATAAAATGCTTAATTTAATGACAATAAATCGATAATTTGTTGTTTTTTTGTAAATAAGGTGTGCTGCCTGTTTGCCGCCTGTTTGCTGCCTGTTTGCTGCCTGTTTGCTGCCTGTTTGCTGCTCGTAATTGCGGCGATGCAAGCGAATGTAACACTGCTCCCCAGACGGTTGCTGGTGGAGGCTGGTTTTGTGGGATGGGTCATCATCGTTTCCTGTCGGCTGACCGTGGGCCAAGCTGTCAGGTCAGGTGACTGTGATGGATTGTAGAAGTAGAAGGAAGTCGCTATAGCAGCAGATGAGTGACACGTCCACGTCTCTGCGTTTTTCATCATGAGACTCAGACTAACTCAACACGACATTCTACACACGCTGAGCTCTGAGGATTAACATCCCTCCACAGCTCAACACACATGTGCAAACACACACGCATGATCTTACAGGGACGTGCAAATTTAACACAAATTCCTACTAGAAAGGTGATACATGTAGATACGTCAGCCTAGAGGTCGAACACTACATCTGCAGCAGAACCAATTCTCATCTGCTGACTCACTCCTCGGGGATA